GGGGGATACTTAGTAGCGCTATTTCTGATCAGAATCGCTCCTACGGATTCCTGGGCTCCTACCAAGACAGATGCTTTACTTTGCCCTTCCTTAATGTACTCGCTTGGCCTTACGTCCCTGCCCCCCACTCCCCACGTCTTAAGGGATGTTTTAAATACTTCTGAGTAGCGGAGGGCTCACGGTAAAATCAGTAAATCATTAGGCGCGACCTTGCCTTCTCTTCTCCCCTGCCCTCACCTGTCCCTTTCACCGCGGGAGTCTTGAGAGCTGCAGGGCCCCAGAGCTTATGACCAAAGCTTGCGTCTACACATTTAATAGTCCGAACATGCACCCATCCTTCCATTTACCCATTCATTCGGGCATCCATCCATGCATTCTTCCACCCAGCCACCACTCTGCAGCCAGCCAGCCCTCCACGTATCCCTCCACTCATCTATCCATCCATACACCTAAGGCGTGCAAGCTGCGTCCTTTGAGCTTTGGGAAGCCGCCAGATGCTTTGAGGGTTCTGTGCAGAGCTGGCGAATGGAGATGAGGAAAGACAGGGAAGAAATATTTAGGAAGGCATGTCTACCCACGTGGCGTTCGACTGGACGGAAGCCTGAGGGTCATGCCCTAGAAGAGAGTGTTTTATTCTCATTGCAACACTGTTGCTCTCCTCCACACCTCCACCCTGCTCTCCAGGTTGAGGGGCTCGTGGGGACTGGACCACACGACCTTTCTGCTTGCTTCCAGCTGTGGAAGCTGTGATACTGCTTGTGTATCTTTCATGATCTCAGTTCAGAAGGAAGATTAAAAGGATGCCTTTGGGGGGGGGGGGGGGGGGGGGGATGGCGCCTGAGTGGCTCAGTCGGTTGAACATCCGGCTCTTGATTTGGGCTCCGGTCATGATCCCGGGGTGGTGGGATGGAGCCCTGTGTTGGGCTCCGTGCTGAGCATGGAGCCTGCTTCGGATTCTCTCTCCCCCTTTCTGTCTCTCTCTGTGCCTCTGTCTCCCTCTGCCCCCTCCCCCACTCACACATGCGTGCGCGCGCTCTCTCTCTTAAAGAAAAAAAAAAAAAAAAAGGATGCTGCGTCTGTTTTGCAGGTTTCCAAATTCTGGGATTTTTAACATGTTAGTGAAGGGGAAGACCGTATTTTCTCACTGACACTCTTCTGCTCAGTAAAGTAGGGGTTCAAAGTTGTAAGAATATACATGTTTTCTTTTCCATGCCATAAATTTAGTACCACTTCGGAAGGGGGGAAAGCCGCCTGTAAACCTGTTTATTTGTTCTCAGTTGGTTCTTAACGGGATGCCTTGAGGGCCACCCTTGAATGTGTACCACGTGTCCATTACAGGTCACCTGTCATGAAGGACCCTGCTAGCTACCCCCCCTAATAATGTTCCCGATCTGGTGCCCAAAGCTAACTCATAAAAAGGATGACAGAGGACTAAGCAACGGCAAAGCAGTTGAGGTTGCGAGCTCTGGAGCCTTGAATGCCGCTTCCTTCAATTTCTGGTTGTAGGACTTCGGACAAATTACTTGACTTCTCCGTGCCTCAGTTTCCTCATCCGTACGGCTAATAACAGTACCGACTTCATAGGCTTGCTGCAAGGTTTAACTGAATTAATACACACCAAGCGTTTAGCAGCGACTGGCATGGTTGTTTCATACATGTGTGTTGCTATTATGGCTATCTTAGGCCTTGCAGGGGGTTGAACCCCATGAGCAAAAGCAGCTGCAGGAAACACGCAGACGGCCCTCTGCCTGGGTGCCCTCTGCCCTTCCTTATCCTGTCACAGGGGAGGATCATTTCCAGTGGCTGTCCTGAAAATGCGAGTGAAATGGACTCATTGCTAGTTTACAAAGTTTCATCTTTTTTCTTAATATACTTTTATTTTTTTAAGTTTATATAGTGATTCGAGAGAGACAGAGACAGCACAAGCTGGGAAGGGGCAGAGAGAGAGGGATAGAGAAAGAGGTTGTCCCATAATGTCTGATAGCAAGAAGTTAAAGATTCTTCCTTCAATTAAATATAGAGCAGATCTTACAAGCCAAATGTTATTAATCATGAAAGTAGATGGCGCCTTGGTAATTTTTCATACATAAATCGGAAGAAGATTTAATATTCTTCCCTAATGGAAATGTTGGCACACAGCTAGAAGAATGACTGGAGAAAAGGGTCAAGGTCGTAGGCCAGTGCCTCTCCCCTGGAATTACACCCTTCCTGGATCCCAGATGGCTTTTGGGTTTGATGACCGTTTAGCAGCCGCCGCTCCCTGTGACTTGGTTGGTACGGATGACTTAAATCTTTCAACTGAGAGCAAATTTGATGGGGCCTCTTGGGGAGGGATATGGAGAGCCGCGCTCGTCCGAGTGAAGGCCGAGAAGCCTCTTCACGAACTATGCTTCCAAGACCCAGGCATTGGTCAGAGGGTAGGTTGTTTCTAGAACTGGTGTAGGGAAGGGGAAAGACCCTGGGGTTTTCGGACAGAGGGCCCTGGGTTTGCCCCTCTGCCTGGCAACGTATTGCCTGACGTTGGGCAAGGTACGTGAGCTCGAGAAGCCTCAGTTTTCCCATCTGTGAAGTGGGGAGGGGGTATTAGGAGAATCCTAAGGGACCGGCATGTGTAAAGCTGCTGTCTTTACCTGGAGAGGAAGTTCGGAAAGCCATGGTTAGTCCTTCCGTGCCAGCTGCATGAAGAGGATGCACGCAATGCATGCATTGCGTCTGGCATGCATCTATGTCCCCTCTTCTGGCGTCACATATTTACCTCCTGAGTTTGAGGAAAGGAAAGTAGTGTTCTCGCAGAGTGTGGACCGACCCCGTGTAAGGAGGAGAAATGGAGCAGACTGGGTGTGGTCTCCTGTCTCCCTGTCCCCAGGCTCTGCTGGCTCTGACAGGAACAGCTAGTCCCTCCTCGGCACCCCCTCCGTCCCTCTGGCTCCGGGCAGAGCCTAAAAGGGCTGTTCTTCCAGGTTTGACAGCCGGCTGGCCTCCCGCCTCGGACTGCCTCCCGACCCCCTGCCTTCTTACCCTGCAAACTACTCAGATGATTCCAAAACCTGGCGCCCTGTGGAGATCTCGAGGCTGGTCAGCAAACAGGAAAGTGACATCTCGGACAGGAGAATCTGTGCCTCTGCGGCAGCCCCAAACACCTGCAGCATCGAGCGCATCCTGCGGAAAACAGGAAGGTTCCAGAAATGGCTGCAGGCCAAGCGCCTCACGCCGGACCTGGTGCAGGTGAGTGTGCTGGTCACAGGGGTGAGATGGGGGGGAGGTGTCCATTCCCACCTCACATCTCAGGGTGGGGGAAGAGGGGTCGTGATCTACCAGAAATGGGACCAAACAAGGCCACAAAACAATGGCTCATGGGAAGACAGTGACCAAACAGGTTCAGTGGTAGGGACCCTTCCCATTGTCATCCTCCATTCTCGCTGATGCGACCCCCAGCAGCCATTTGGCAAACGGTTTCTGGCTGCTACCTCTGGTCTGAAGATCCGACGGGATGACCCTCACCAACCCTCCCTACGACCTTCTCAGGGGACCCAGGCCAACCCCCAGACTGTGCCCTCTCTCGGAAGCTCTCATTACACAACCTGTTTCACCAGCCAGAGAGCCCGCTTTGGAAATCAGCTTCCTCGGTTCCTCAAAAAATTAAAAATAGAACTACCCTATGACCCGGCCATAACGCTACTAGGTATTTAGCCAAAGGATAGAAAAATACCGATTCGAAGGAGCACACGCACCCCCACATGTATAACAGCACTAGCAACAATGGCCAAAGTATGGAAAGAGCCCAAATGGCCATCGACAGATGAATGGATAAAAGAGATGTGGTATACGGGCGCCTGGGTGGCTCAGTCGGTTAAGCATCCGACTTTGGCTCGGGTCATGATCTCGTGGTCTGTGAGTTCGAGCCCGCCTCAGGCTCTGTGCTGACACCTCGGAGCCTGGAACCTGCTTTGGATCCTGTGTCTCCCTCTCTCTCTGCCCCTCCCCTACTCACACTCTGTCTCTCTCTCTCAAAACACACACACACACACACACACACACACACACACACACACACACACACAATGGAGTATTACTCAGCAATCAAAAAGAATGAAATCTTGCCATTTGCAACTGCATGGCTGGAACCAGAGTGTATTACGCTAAGCGAAATAAGTCAGTCAGAGAAAGACAAATATCAGATGATTTCGCTTGTATGTGGGATTTAAGATACAAAACAGATGAACATAGGGGGAAGGAAGGAAAAGTAAGATAAAAACGGAGAGGGAGTCAAACCACAAGACTTTTTTTAAGTTTATTTATTTGGGGTGCATGGATGGCTCAGTCGGTTAAACGTCCGACTTCGGCTCGGGTATCTCGCAGTTCGTGAGTTCCAGTCCTGCGTCAGGCTCTGTGCT